GGTGAAGGCTTTAGAGCTGTGGGCTTTAAGCCTGGTCGGCTAAAGGGAAGAAACATGGGGGGCCGGTTTTAGTTATTAATTAAAGGGCCCATTAGTTGTTTCTTGTTTAGCAAGTTGTTAACCCTAGTTTATATCTTATAAATACCCAATCATGTAACTATAATCTGTGAGCACCTAATAAAAGATAAACCCTAGTTGCAACCCGTGGAGTAGTTTACTGACCGAACCACGTTAAATCTCGTGTTCTTATTTTCTGCTATTTGTGTGTGTGTGTTTGTTCGCTTCCGCTTGACCGCCTCTGATCTCTGATTCCTAACAGAACTTACTCCCCTGCAACCACACAGAATTTCAGTCCACAAATAAAGCAGCACATCACCTTTGATTTTTGTTGTTGAGAGTTGTGGGGTGGGGTGGGGTGGGGTGGGGGGGCTTAATTGCTTCTTCATAAGAAAATGCAAACTGAAACAATAAGCAATCACAGTGCATGACAATGAGCCATGATTCTGTTGCTGCTTTTTAATGTCGGATAATAAAAGCCAAAGTTGGTTTGTTGTTTCACCCTTTGGCGGAAATATGTTGCCGTTAGTTCTTTCGCCTTCATTGGTTAGTCCTATAAAATGAAGTAGAAGATAAAGTCAAGTGACAAGCTTGAAAATTAGCTTATTGGTTCTGCAGTTTAATGCGAAAGGTTTAAAAAAAACACAGGAAAAAAAAACAAATTTCACCTCTCTCGCAAGACGACATAATTGGCTGTTTCTGTCTTTTGTATCCTGGAAATTTTCCTCAATACAGCTGCAAAAGTGTCCTTGTCCTGTTTCAAGTTTTAACAAAGCACGATTTGCATGAAAGACAGAATTGCATGTTTTCGTATAAAAAATAATCATATGTGCCTCTCGTGGGATTAATAGTAACACAATGCCTTGATACTTGAGCTATGCATAAGAGAAATTAATAACTTCATGCATTTTTTGTTCAAAAAAGAGTTGTTTTTGTTTGGTCACTACATTTAGACTCATCTTTGTACTCAATTTGGCCACCCCAGAATGTAATTTGGATCCAATTTAGTCATCATAGTGAAATGTGTGGAATCCAAAATAGTCTAAATTGCACGGTTCATGACCAAATTGAGTCCAAAAGAAAGGCGATGACCTAATGGAACAGTAGTATATAGTCAAGGTGTGAAGTCGGGTTAACCCATCATATTAAAGTCCCAGCCTAGAGGTGCATCGATCCAATTTTTTTCTTATTACGTCTTTGCCCATACACTATGCCCCGGTCTTCCACCTAGTGCTTCATAGAGCACTAGTGTCCATGTATTCGAGATTTCAGATTAACGGGATCAGATTTCAAGAATAAATTAATCATTTGAAGGGGAAAAAATTAGCTGATAGAATTCAAAAATGACACACCTCTTTAGACTTCAGCCGTGATTTAAATCGGCTAACAAGGTCCGAAGTGGTAACCGGTCTTTGCTGCAGCAGAACAGCTCTTATTTCATCTTCAGTCACGGGTGTTACAGCAGTTCTTGCAGGTGGCACTGCAGACGATGATGATAGATTGTTGGGCATGCTATTATTGGCAGCAGGTGTGACAGCTTCTTCTTTTACTGGCTTAACGTCCTGGTACACAAATATATATCAGATCACACACTGAAGTAATAAATTCATCCTGTCCTTCATTGAGTATCCCATATCAAGTTCCAGTATAATATTCAAGTCCAAGGCAAACATAACTTCATGTCGACCATTTCTTGGGGTGAATTAGACCCAACTTAAAGTATGCTTCCATTGAAGATTTTAGAGGGGAAGGCTTTGGAGGGATTAATTTAAACTCGCATTGTGCGTGTGTGTGCAATTAACATACTATGTGATGGTATAACATCGCATTCTTCATTTATTTGTTTTAAAAAACATTATATTTATCAAAATATAGACGAAACCCTCCAATATCTCGATACCTTCCCCTCCAAAACCCTCCATCCAAATGGACCCTTAACATCCGTAAATTAAGAAGGTAAGCATTGGCCACCAACTCCTTAAGTACATGGCATTACCGTTTCAGATTTCACTTTTTTAGAAGGAACACCATTAGCAGACTTTGGTTCATCCCCATTAGCTTTTCTTTTACCCTTAGCTGACTTTGAAATCGAGGAGCTTGCACGAGTGGAGCTCGAACCAGGTGGTTTCGCTGGACTGCTGGCCTCAGCTTGTTCTTCTTTAGGAGTTACTTTAGGCTTTGGAGCTAATACAGGTGATGAGAAATCATCTTCCTGTAATTAAAAAATTTTAGCCCCCAAAGGATGAAGGTACAGACAACAACAACAACAACAGCAACCCAGTTAAATCCCACAAGAGTAGGGTCTGGGGAGGGTGTGTGTACGCAGACCTTGCCCCTACTCGAAAGTAGAGAGGCTGTTTCCAAAGAGACCCCCGGCTCAACGTCGAAAGTTGCATTGCTTGACTAACTGCTACTTCATTAATTAAAGAAGCGCAGATAGTTTAGAGATCCATTTTGATTTACATGGATATATAGTACATGAATTCCAACTTACTTCCTCGTCGTCGTCGTCATCCTCGGGATCTGATTCATTCATCCCATTAGCTTTCCCAAGGATTTTCTTCAACTCTTTACCCGATTCGCTCAAACCCCATCCTCCTTCCCCATCAGCTTCTTCCTCATCTTCGTCATCCTAGAACAGGAGAAAAGATATATAAGTTATGCTGCCAAATCATAATGCATGATGATATAAGAGCCTCTCCACTTCCAGACAATATGATGAAAGAGTCTGGTGCATTTCTGTTAAAGGTTGCTTTCCATGTTACAACTCTACACTTTTTTATCACTACTACCCTCACTTGATGAGCGATCGTGTACTTTTTTCATTGCCTCTCAATTGTTTCAGTGGTTTTTTTAATCATTTTGGCTTACGAGTAGTCAGTGTTTTTTTGTGCAATACTCTATTAGTCAACTTTTTGTGCCTTTTTATTTGTACTTAAGTTAGATCACTAAATTAATTAGTAAATTATTTCACGGAAAATTATGGAACATGACCATGGAATTGGCCATAGGAAGGGTAAGGAAAGTAGGAGGGAGGCCGAGGAAGAGTAAGGGTGAGTTGATTCGGTAGGACATGATGCTTCGACAATGCACCAATAACATTACCCTACAGATGAGTGCTTGGAAGTCAAGGGTTAAGATAGTAAGTTAGTCAGGATTTCTATATGACTCAAGTTTTAGGGGTAGTTTAGGTTTTCTGGGGTGTCTTAAATGTAACTTTAGGGGGGTTTTGTGAGTTTACATTCCTACTTTTATAATGCTGCTCGTTACTCCACTTCTCTCGTATTGTTTCAGCCTTAACTTTGTTTGGCTTTGTATTCGTAACTGCTTCTGAGATCTTCAGTTCTTCTAAGCTGGGATCTTTAGAAACCAGCCTCTCTACCCCTTCTTCAGGTATGGGTAACGCTTACACACAGCCACGAGACCCCATGTTAAGTTGGTGTTGTTCTATTATTATAAAAAGTCATAACATCAGCATGCAAGAACATTATAAAGGATGGTGTGGTATGATACTCTCAAGCCTCCTCCCTCCCCCTCTCATCCTCACCCACCCAATCACTCTCACCATTTCTCCTCCCCTTAGTCTCCTCCCATCATTTGAATCAAATAAGAGGTAAATGTCCATTAACTTCAATATCATGAACAACCAAATCAGCCAACAAGGGCACACTGCACAACAAACCTGCTTAATTTCCGGAGGGACAGGGATTTCAGGAGCCAGATCTTCCCTTTCCTCAGGGTCATTTCCTGGAGCTTCATCATCATCTGTAAAAATTTCTTCATGCTCCCAATCATCACCTATCAAATAATGTGAGGGAAAGAAAGACTTCACAACATGAAGTTATACATACAACAACAACATGAAGTTATACATAAAATAACTTTAGAGTAGTAACTAGACACTAGTAACACCATGCATGAAGGAATCTAAAACATCCAGTGATAGCATGAAATTGATAATTTTAAAAAATAATATACAGGGAAAGATACAGAAAGAATGTAGAACAGTAACTCCAAAACATTAAACATCCCATATTCAAAGAGGGAAGGACAGAGGGACTGATGTATAAAGGGTAAATAAGGTAGTGAAGGTATCTATCGGAATTCATTGTGCAATTAATGTGCATAACCTATGGAGTCCAGCAAGGACAATTTTATATACTTATTATGATCCACACAACTAACAAGAGAAGTTCACAAAGATATCAGCTATGAAACTGTTAATATAAGTAGAAACTTTAAGTTGGAAACCTTGGGGTATGTTTGCAAGTGTTTTTTGGAGAGGTGTGGTAATTATTCATTTTACGAAAAGAGAGGTTTAACTATATAGCTTTCAATATAAAGAACAAAAAGATATTAATACTACTACAACAAATGAAATCTTTCATCCTGGTCCGGTAACATTCCATTTGTTCTCTACTTTTCTTAAATGTTATTGATCGCCCATGTCCTAGTCAAATATTTATAACCCTTAACATATACGGAGTATAATTTTATTAACAAATCCACCTACTCCCCCCCCCCCAAAAAAACAACACCAACCTACTAAAATAACATGAAAGCTTAGCCTATTAGTTCAAAATTCCGGCTTTTCAGTATCTAAGATTCAAGTTCAGTATGATCCACTGGCAGGGGAACATTAGAGTACAGGAATAAAAACCAAGGTTTAATAGAGTAAAACTCCTGAAAATTTAGCCAGTTAGACATATGCACATATTATTTTCTTATATGAGCATTATAAAGTTATCACAAGATGCACATATGCACATGAAATTTAGCCCATTAGACATATGCACATAAAATTTAGGGTCTAGAAATTATCAACTTGATAGTAGATCTAAATAAAAAGTCTATTTATTCAAACAAGATGTCAACCTTTTTCAATATCATCTTCATCATCAAGATCACCACCTCGGGGTCCCTCTTCATCATCATCACCACCTTTTTTGTTGCGCCCTGGTCTATGTTTCTTGTCCATATTATCGTCTTCATCTTCTTCTCCTTGGTCTGAGGCATTGCCCTCATCATCACCAGATTTCCTCCTAGCCCTCCCACCACCACCACCACCACCTTCCTTGTCATCGAACTTTCCAGCTTCTCCAAAAGCAGCAGGTCCATTGTTTGCTGCTTTCATCATCCATCTTTGGTACCCATCAGCAGTTTTCCTTCGGTTATTCATCTTCTCTTCGGCTTCTTCCAGGGTAAGCTGCTTGTATTGTGCCACTTTGTTGAAGTTGTACCTAAGATTGCGACCAAGTTTATATAACAGTATATAATATTGTTTTGTATCATAAATTAGATATTGATAACATAACATAAAACATAAATCAAGAATACCAGGAACCAGCAGGAATGGCAACAAACTCTCTACCCTGCAACATTAGTAGGTAGTAGGTTGCTGATTGTGCACCTTCTGGCTGGCCATGGTACTGAGACTGCCCTGATTCATCCTCCAATAGCCAGGGTTTATTCTTGAACCTTTCCTGCAACATGTATTCATTTGATGGTAAAACTAAACACTTTAGAAGGATAGATATATGCCTTCAAAACCTCCAAATCACTAGAGTAGGTGGGCGGGAAGGGAGATCTAAAGAGGTAAGGTTTCAGATGTTGTTCTCAGTCAATTTCCAATGAGCTACTATACTCAATGGGGAGAGGTAAAAGCAACAGGTATGCATGTGTATCTAGTTCTTCACTGTACAATTTGTCCAAGATATATATTACAATGACTTTTCTGAGTTTCTCATCCAACTGCCCAACCTAAATACTCCCTCTGTCCCGAAAAGAAAGTAAAACTTACTTATTTAAGATGTCCCAAATTGAACTTCACACCTCTTTACTTCCCAGTTAAATTAAAGAATATGTGGCTCTTTTTCAAAAAAAAAAAACAAGAAGAATATGTGGCTCACAACTTTCGTCTTTCTTATAAACAAATTCCAATGAAACTCTGTGACGTCAATTTGTTACTATCTTTTCAGAGTTTTCGGAGCAAAGGGAGTATTAAATAAATCTCATAGATTCATACATTACAATGATAATCAATCTTTCTTCTTCCACTAACTCAACTTCATAAAAATGATTCAGCCTTTTGGTCCAGAGGTTTCGTAGCTATTTGGACCATTTTATATCATGGGTATTTCCCTTTAAATGCGTGAGGATAATGCTTTAATAAGAACTTAATTATGCTCTCTTAGAGGTCGTTTAGCTGGACCTAATTTAAGTACTGTTCAGTTCAGTGCCATTCCATTTAGTATTTAGCACTGCATAAATCAAAATCACACTACAATATCTTCAGTTCAGTTTAGTACGATTTAGTTCAGTTCAAAGTCACCTTTCAAGTTGGACATATTTTTACAAGTCAGAAGTCTGGAACTTCACATTCAAATGCATAAGAATATAGACAATGCATTGGTTCCAGTTTCCAGATAAAAGGTAAAAAGACAACCCACACAATGAATTATTAATTATCTCGAGCACCATATCCCTGTTAGACACCAAGTAACTATGAAACTATTAAAAGTTAACGCAAAAAATGAAATTGGGGAAATAAAGGACAGTTCAGGGAAAACATTTTACCCGCAAAGCATCAGTTACTTGGCGTCCTTGCAGACCTTCTTTCTGCAGACTCCACTTGTTCTCACTCCTCTTCTTTGAAAAAGTTGGTAACCCCGTAGCAAATCTCCCGATGAAGTAATTCTTTTCGTTGGTAGAGCATGCTCTAACATTGTATTCCTATTCATGCCACAATTCAATGCGGAGAATTGGCTTATGAATATTGAGAGAAAAACAATTGCATCTGAACCGAAAGCAGGTAAGTAAATAAATATACTCCGGGTATAGTACACAAGCATGAAATTAGGGATGAAATAAAGTAACTCTATGTATGGAGAATATAACATTCTTTTAAAATAACTCAAAGTGAATGAAAACACATTAGATAGTCACAAAAATTAATTAAAAGCTTGCTTATATGGCACAAGCAAAAAAAATTAGTTAAAATCTTCGATGGCATAACCAAAATGCCTTTATGATATATAGACTTCAATACCTATAGTCGTAAAACAAAGCTCAAAAAATCATCATTTCGTTTTAGGACTAATAAATCACTTGAGACAAAAACATACAGGCTAATAATAATGATCATTAGAGCAATCTAAATTGTGCCACTCTAGTAGTCTCTACCTATTTTATCCTCCATAGTAATCATTCATAGAGCACCTCTACGTATCCTCTCATCTTTAACAAGGGCAAAAAGGAACACGAACATTAAATGTTTTATTGTGATTGTGAAAGACTTGTAACAAGGTCCATCAACTTCTTCTAAATGACAAATAACTGTGAAGGACCCAAGGGAGCATAAGTTTGTTCTGGTACTACTGGGAACTATGTTGCACCCACTCTTCAAGTGAGCCCGGATTCCCATCCCTGAAACCTCACAATTCGGTTGCCTGTGAAACACATATGCTATGGAAAATTTTGAAAAGTTGGTTTTCCCCCAAATCCAAATGCCTCCATGAAACTTTGACAGGGACTACATGAAGCATGTACTTCAGGACTCATCAAACGCATGTGCCCACAAAATCAAACAATCAGTAATTCTAGTATACACCTGGCAAAACCTAACAAGCAACGCTCATCAGATTAATATGAGAAGACAAATTTCTGCAAAGGAGGGCGAACCCTAATCAAGCGCGTGATCGGAGCGCCGCACTTGTTGCAGGTGCCGTGGTTCTGAGCCATGGTTTTGCCACACGACACACAGAGAGTCAAATGCTTGCAGGTGGTTCCGTAAAGCTCCGACGGCGATCCGCAGCCGCTGCACGTCGGCTTCAGAACCAAATCCGCAGACATTTTGCCGTTCTGAGGAGATTTCTCTGCACAATTCATCAGATCAGTGTGGATTTACAGACGTCAATTGAATTTATCAAAGGAATCCTGAAATTAATTAGGTTCTATTTGGGGTTATCCATTATTACATGAAAAAAATCGGCCGATTAGATTCCAACGTCTCTGAGGGCCAAGTCCAAAGGCTTTTCCGATAACCCAAGTAAGGTGGGTGTGGCATATATAGAGCTAGATCTTGACGCTGCGACGCCGTTTCGAAGAGCATACACACTTTGGGATAGGATGTAAACAAAGGACCGGGCTATACACTTCTCACCATTGCTACCAACTTTGTCTCCAACTACTTCTCTACCACATATTTATCTTTACTCAATCTCCACTCACCCTTTAATTTTAATTTTCTTGCCTTCTTACCACATGTTTATGTAGGGGACATAGTTGGTAGTAAGGGTGGGGTTTTTTAGCATTTTTCTTTTTCCTTTGACAACTTATTTAGCCATTTTTACTTATTAATGATTAATAAGTACTTTCTTTCTAATTTATATTGAACATTTGTGAATTTTTGCTACATCGTGTCATGGATGACAAATAATATTTTTTTTGTACCTTTTAAATAATTATACCTTTTTTATTTGGAAAAAGCTATGTGTACACCATATGTGTACACCACTTGTACACCATACATACCCCTCCCCCCTAACTTTCCATAACCCCCTCCCACTCCTCCGTCCCCCAACTTCCATAATCCCCTGCTCTCTCTCTCTCTCTCTCAGACTTCTCCGAAGACCATCCCTTCTCCGAGAGCTTCTCCTTCGTCTTCCCCGTTCTTCCTCTGCAGCAACCCCTACTTCGTCATCCTCCATCGACTGAATCACTGGAAGATTCAACTTGGCAAAGAGCGCCTCCTTCGTCTTCTTCGATTTTTTGCACCCATCCGGCCACGGTAAAATAACAAATTAAAGTTAATAATAAATACTTATATTTCAATTTTAGGGTTTTTATTTTGTAAATCTAGATTCAATCGCTCAATCCTTCCCTTTTGTGAAATTAGCCTTTGTTTATGTGTTTTGTGAATCATTTTTTCTTGAACTTGTTCAATTGTTTATTTCCTTTTTTAATCTTTTCAGTTGCTAATTTTTCATTAATAACATGTTCTAATTAGGATTTTTCATGTTTATTACGAAATGTCTGTGTAGTACTTCTCACAGGTGTAAAATGTTTGTATTCTAATTAAGAGTATTCGATTTAAAAAACTTGTTTTGAAATGTCTATGATGTGCTTCTTGCTTGCATAAAATATCTATATTTAAAAAAGAACTTATTCTATTTCATTAATTATTTGAAAGTGTTTGTGTAGTGTTTGTTACTGGCATAGAATGTCTGTTTTCCAAATAAGGGTGCTCAATTTCAAAACTTGCTATGAAATGTCTCTGAAGAGCTTGCTTTTTAGTGTGAAATGCATGTATCCTAATTAATAGTTTTATTGCTGCACTTTCCCAATTTCAGTTTTGTGTTGTAGCTTTAGGTAGCTATTTCATCTATGTATGTTGAATGATTTGTGACAAGAGGTTTAGATTTTTTATCTACACTCTCACATACATACTATGTTTGTAAAGAAAATATTACAGACACGTAATGTCTATAACATATTTGACTGACACTAGTATGAAGAAGGAGACAAGGAGACAATATGAAGCAATTTCTTCCAACTTGAAGATGGCGAGGCCTGAATTAGATCTACGTTATGGTACGGTAAAGTGTGATTGTTTGCCTCAATCAAGAAATTGTGTAATTCGAGTTGTGACTGACCATGAGAAGCCAAACAAAGGTAGGCTTTTTTATACTTGTGATCACTGTGGGTTTTTTCTTTGGTGCCATCCACTGAAGGCTGAATTTTGAGGTGAGCCACTGCCAATTGATAGCTCTGTAATGGGTCGGTTTGTTCGAAACTACGGAGAATTTGAGGAGGAGAGCTATTTACATGAGAATGCACGTGGAGCTCAAAACGAAGTGAATGCAGCTGTGCCCCGTGAGAATCATTCCAATAGGGGCGTGAATCTATATCAAACCATAAACCTCTTTTGCAAGTTGTTGGGTCTTGTTGTTGTTTTGGTTGCTCTTTTGAAGTAGGTTGATGTATTTAGTAGTGTTCTTGGGGCTGTGTAGTATTTTGAGTTGTTAATGTTCAAGTACTTATGTACCAATGTTGTATGACTTGTGTTGAGTGAATTTGTGAAATTTGTGTAATGGAAGATCATTGTTTTGTCATTGTTTTTTATGGCTTGTATATTCAGTTTTATGGCTTGTCCTTGTATACCAATTTTTTGTTTGTGCCTGTATGCAAGAGCCTCGAGGTAAAAATGGTATTCAGGCAGAAACATGAACTGGTATTCTGGAAAAAATGGTTAATGTATGTGAACTCCTACTCACAGACGCAGAATGTCTATTTTTAATGTTAATTGTTTGCCTGCTTCGTATCATGTATTTATCTTTCTGAATATTTACTTTTTGTTCTTGTATTATGAACACTAAGTTCTTAATTGTAATTTTGCATGTTTTGAAAAAAATGGAAAATGTATGTGAACTTCGACTCACAGACGTAGAATGTCTGTTTTCAATATTAATTGTTTGTCTGCTTCGTATCATGTATTTAATGAGACGCTCAAGGTGTTTTGAAGCCTGAAATGAGAGGCTTATTGTCATATGTTCAACTAAGTAAGGAGTATGTTTTGGTCACACAGACAACAAGTGTCTGTAATTCATCGTAAACAGAAACTTATTGTCTGTAAAACCTAAATAAAAATTACATATTTCAAATATACCAAAGAGTGCTATAGAAAAGAATGTTTCACAATTACTCTTGATTGTAAAAAAAGAAAAAAAATTATAATTACTTTTTGTTATTGTATTATGAATAATAAGTTCTTAATTGAAATTTTGCATGTTTTGAAAAAAATGGTAAATGTATGTGAACTTCGACTCACAGACGTAGAATGTCTGTTTTCAATATTAATTGCTTGTCTGCTTCGTATCATGTATTTAATGAGACGCTCGATGTGTTTTGAAGCCTGAAATGAGAGGCTTATTGTCATATGTTCAACTAAGTAAGGAGTATGTCTTGGTCACACAGACAAAAAGTGTCTGTAATTCACCGTAAACAGAAACTTATTGTCTGTAAAACCTAAATTAAAAATTACATATTTCAAATATACCAAATAATGCTATAGTAAATAATGTTTCACAATTACTCTTGATTGTAAAAAAGAAAAAAAATTATAATTACCAATGTTTAGTTACACAAACACTAAAAATCTGTAATTCTTTATACACAGACATTTATTATTTGTGTAATTTAGAAGAAAATTTCACCCTTCAAATCTATGAAATAGTACAGTACCAAAACATTTCACAAATTTTTCTACGTTTAAAAAAGAAAAGAAAAATTACAATTAATACTATTTAGTCACACATACACTAAATGTCCTTATTTTCTTGAACACAGACATTTACTATTTGTGTAATCTGAATAAAACAGCACCACCATCTCTGCCATAATTTACTGCTCCGGTGACGACGACGATGATGATGGCGCCGTTGTGACGCTTCTAGGCGGCTGCGGGGAGCCCACGGCGTGCAACTTCAGGGGGTGCCGAAGATGAAGCTAATCGACCGGTGGGGAGGAAGATAGATGCGAGATCTATGGAGGAAGAGAAAATGAGTGAGAAAGGGAAATGATGTTACCTGGTGCTGCGTCGATCATCGGCAGGGAGGGAGGGAGTTCACGGATCTGAGGAGGAAGAAAGAGTGAGGAGGAGAGATGAGAGTAGGGTTGGTTATGGAATGAGGGGGGGGGGGGTGTATATGGTGTTCATTTGGGGTACACCAAGTGGTGTACCCCTAGCAGGACCGTTTTTATTTTACCATTTTTCTATCGCATTATGTCAATGTAATTTAAATCTTAATTTTAATTTTAGTGAAATATTTATATAATGTTTTCATTCTAAGTAATTCAAATTCATAAAATAAATGGGGAAAATTAAATTATAATAGAAAAAAAGGAAAGGATGGGCGTGATGGGGGCATGATCTGTGCCCGTAAAAGGCGATATAATGTGGTAAGAAAAAAAAGAAGTTGGGATGGAGATGACACAAAGTGAAGAACATGGGGCACACCCTTTATTTTGTTTCATTACTCCTTTCATCCCAAATTAAATTAACGTCGCATTGATTATTCATTACTTGATCGCCTATATATGCCTTCTTTTTGTGCTAAAAGACCATTGCAGACTGGCCTTAAATGTTCTTTTGGTACAAAAAGTAGGCATATATAGGTGATCGAGTCATGTTGATATTTCAAACTTCCAAATTTGAAAAAAATATTAAAATTTTTCATTTTAAAAATTTGTAATATTTAGGCTTCGTTTGGTACACGGAATTCAAACTATGGAATTGGAATTGAGGACTTCAATTTCAATTCTCGTGTTTGATAGCACAAAAACTATGTGAATTTGGAATTGGTAGTGCAAAAAATGACTTGAAATGGGTAAATTCAATTCTATGGAATTGAATCTTATGGAATTTTAATTCTAATTCAATTTCAATTCTATCAATTTCGTGTACCAAACAGGCTCTTAGAGATAGGGATGTAAACAAATCAAATATTTTAAATTCGATTCGCGATTTGTATTCGAATATGATCATTCGAATTCGTGTTATTCAAATTCAAATATTATTTTTGATTCGAATATTAATCAAATACAAATACAAATAGGGATATATTCGATTCGGAAGATATTCGAATATTTGAATATATGTATATATACACAGACCATGTTTTCAACATCAAAAGTCAAGCAAAATAATATAGCATAAAGTGTATTTAAAATACTAAGAATTCAATAAATTAACGTCACACGAAAATCTAAAACATATGATTTTTAATAGTTATATTTTATAAAATATAATTTGTGTAAGATGAAAATGTATTAATGTTTTTATATACGGAATATAGTATAGTATAAAGAGTATCGTAAGTTAAATTACAAATTGGTGTTGGTCCATCATATAAATTACATAGTATGATTATTCAAATATTCGTTTATGATTCGATAACTATTCGAATATTAATCAAATACTTATTCAAATCTTATTTTGAATTCGTCTCATATTCGGATTCGGATTTGTATTCGAAAAAATTAAACAAATACAAGTTCAAATATATCGGTATTCGCTTCGATTCGGTTCATTTACACCCCTACTTAGAGATATCAAATTCGATAATTTTTTTATATTTCATAAAAAAAATCTAATACTTGAAAAAACGAGGATTCTTTTTTTTTTTACTCGCCAAACCCAATTCAAAAAAAAAAGTTTGGTAGGAGAGGTTAATATTGGTAAACGCCAAGTACGGAGTAAAAAGGGACGGAGTGGCTAAGAAGGAAAAGAGAGTGATCCACTTCTTCCAGTTCTCCCGCCTTCATTATTGCTCCACCGCTATATCTACCAAACACTCCCCTCGTTATTGCTCCACCGCCGCTCAGCTGCCTCGCCGACGGCACACCTGAACACTTCACGGCGTCGTATCATGGCCATGAAATCGTTCGTCGAAGTCAATCCCGACTCTCACTTCCCGCTCCAGAACCTCCCGTTCGGCGTATTCAAGCACGAGCCCGGCTCACACGCTCGGCCCGGCGTCGCCATCGGAGACTACGTTTTGGACCTTTCTGTGATCGCCGCCGCCGGTTTGTTTGATGGCCCGTGTTTGAAGAGTTCCGACTGCTTCAATCAGGTCTATCCGTCTATCTATCCCTTCTCATTGGCTGATTACTCTTTTGTTTTGCACGGATTGTTATATTTTTATGCTCAAACTTAGTGCTTGAAAATGATTGAAAAAACTGTTTGAACTTTAAAATCTATGGAGTATTATTCAATGTTGCATTTCGAGCAATTTAGGGAAGGGAAAGTTTGCGTCTACCACTTTATGATGTCAATTTCAAGTTGTATTCTCCGGCGGAAGCTAAATATACTGTTTGGATGCAATATTATGCAATAAAATTTAGTGAACCAGTGGAACTTGTGCTTGAATAGAGACGGTCTTAGTGGGATCCGCTGATAAAGTCTGTACATGATGTGTCTATGTTGTTCTGCAGCCTAATCTTAACAGTTTTTTGCAATTGGGACGGTCTGCATGGAAGGAAGCTCGTGAAACCTTGCAAAGGCTACTATCAGGTACTAGTTTTTTTTTCCATCAAAAGAGAAAGAAATATTGATGTAGTATGATATTCTGCAATATTGATTTTGCAATGAGGTATGACTACCGTGTAAAGAAGGAGTCTCACACCTGGAAAATACAAGATAAAGGTTAAGTTTACAATGCCATGAGTTGAACAAGATAGTTGGTTGATCCAATTTTCTAATCCGTAGTTCGAGTAGTGTTCGACTCTATAGTTAATCAGTTATAAATGGACTCCACTTCTGCTGTACACATGCATACCCACCCTGATCCAAGATATTAACACAGAATAACTATCTCATTTTGTATTGTCTCTTGATTCCGCACGAGTAGAAACATGTGGTGATGATTTTGGAATTTCATCTCATGTTTTATATATTTAATATTTTGGATATTGTGCTATGTTATTGGGCAGCTACTGAGCCACAGTTGCGTGACAATGCAAGTTTAAGGCAGAAAGCTCTTATACCCATGGTTAGACTTATTTCAGATGGTTGATGTACCATTCAACTAATGATGTCAGATACTCAGATGTATGATAAAGGATGTTTTGTTGGTTTATTTATGCTGGTGACTTGGTGTTTTTAGGGCAAGGTAGAAATGCTGCTACCTGTAGCAATTGGAGACTACACGGACTTCTTTTCTTCCATGCATCATGCAAAGAACTGTGGAGCCATATTCCGAGGTCCGGAGACCCCAATCAACCGTAATTGGTATGCAAATATGACATACCCTTGAGTAGTTTTTAGAATGACATGAATGCAACTAGTTAAATAAGAACTAAGGACAATATTGGATGAAATTCTTCTATAAAGTGCTAGGTAATGGGTAGGGTTAGGTGGAGCATATGTTGATTATGGGATAATTACATCTATTTTGCATGTGGTTTGGCTTAACTGCCAAAGGGTCCTTAATATTTTTGAAAATTAAAAACAGGCCCCTTTATTAATCATATTTTCCACAAACTGCCTTTCTAAACACCGAAGGGCGAAGGCTATAGCATACAATGATATTACCATGAATTATGTGTATTCATATTGAATTCAGTGTTTTCTAAAATGAAATAATGTTACTGGTATGCATTCATATTATTTTCTAGCTTGCTTATGTGAGATGACCAATCAATTGATCATTTCCAGGTTCCATCTTCCTATTGCGTATCATGGGAGGGCGTCATCAATTGTC